CATCGTATGATATTTGTCTTTGTCTGACTTACTTCACTTAGTATGATAATCCCTAGGTCCACCCATGTTGCTGCAAATGGCATTAGTCCATTCTTTTTTATGGCTGAGTAGTATTCCATTGTATAAATATACCATAACTTCTTTATCCAGTCACCTGTTGATGGACATTTAGGTTGTTTCCATGTCTTGGCTATTGTATATAGTGCTACTGTGAACATTGGGGTGAATGTGTGTTTTTGAATTAGTGTTTTCTCTGGATATATGCCCAGGAGTGGGATTGCTGGATAATATGATAATTCTATTTTTAGTTTTTGAAGGAACCTCCATACTATTTTCCACAGTGGCTGCACCAATTTACATTCCCACCAACGGTGCTCCACACCCTCTCCAGAATTTATTATTAGTAGACTTTTTTAATGATGACCATACTGACTAGTGTGAGGGAGGTGATATCTGTAGTTTTATTTGCATTTATCTAACAATTAGCGATGCTGAGCATCTTTTCATGTGTCTGTTGCCCATCTGTAGGTCTTCTTTGGAGAAATATCTACTTAGGTCTTCTGTCCATTTTTTTCATTGGGCTGTTTGATTTTGTTAATGAGGTGTATGAGCTGTTTGTATGTTTTAGAAATTAAGCCCTTGTCAGTCATATCATTGGCAAATATTTTCTCCCAGTCTATAGGTTGTCTTTTCATTTTGTTTGTGGAAGAAACCACTTTCTTTGCTCATCCATAAGAAGCAACTTCTCATCCATGAAAGTTTTCTCATGAGATTGCAACAATTCATTTGCATCTTCAGGCTTCATTTCTAGTTCTCATGCTATTTCCACCACATCTGCAGTTATATCCTCCACTGAAGTATTGAACCCCTCAAAGTCATCCATCAGGGCTGGAATCAACTTTTTCCAAACTTCTGTCAATATTGATATTTTGACGTCTTCCTGTGAATCATCAATGTTCTTAATGGCATCAAGAATGGTGAATCCTTCGCAAGAGGTTTTCAATTTACCTTGCCCAGATCCGTCAGAGGAATCACAACCTACGGCAGCAACAGCCTTATGAAATGTATTTTTTAAATAATAAAACTTCAAGGTCAAAATGACTCTTTGATCAAATGATCTCTGATGGCCTGCAGAATGGATGTTGTGTGAGCAGCATGAAAACAACATGATGTCACTGTCTGTCTCCATTGGAGCTCACAGGTGACCAGGTGCAGACAGTGAGCAATCATATTTTGAAAGGAATATTTTTTTTTCTGAGAAATAGGTCTCAACAGTGGGCTGAAAATGTTCAGTAAACAGATGTGCTGCCATCCAGTCTTTGTTGTTCCAGTTGTAGAGTAGAGGCAGAGTAGATTTAGCATAATTCTTCAGGGCCCTAGGATTATTGGAATGGTAAATGAACTTTGTCTTCAACTTAAAGTCACCAGCTGGATTAGCCCCTAACAAGAGGCAGCCTGTCCTTTGATGTTTTGAAGCCAGGCATTGACTTCTCCTCTCTTAACTATGAAAGTCCTAGATGGCATCTTCTTCCAATAGGTGTTCTGTCTACATTGAAAATCTCTTGTTTGGTGTAGCCTCCTTCATGAATGATCTGAGCCAGGTCTTCTGGATGACTTGCAGCAGCTTCTATGTCAGCATTTGCTGCTGCACCTTGCATTTGATGTCACGGAGACGACTTCCCTCTTGAAACCTCATGCACCAACCTCTGCTAGCTCCAAACTTTTCTTCTGCAGCTTCCTCACCTTCTCCGCCTTCAGCAGGCTAGAGTACTGCTCTGGATTAGGCTTTGGCTTAAGGGAATGCTGTAGCTGATTTGGCCTTCTATTTCGACTAAAACTCTCTTCACATCAGCAATACCAACAGTTTTGCTTCATACCAGCAAAACTTCCTCATCGTGCTTGTGCTCACTGGAGTAGCTCTCTTAATTTCCTTCAAGAGCTTTTTTTTTTGTACTCACAACCTGGCTGGCTGGTGCAAGAGGCCTAGCTTTCAGTCTGTCTTGCCTTCTAACTGCCTTCCTCACCGAGCTTAATCATTTCTAGTTTTTGATTTAAAGTGAGAGACATGTGACTCTTCCTTTCACTTGAACACTTAGAGGCCACTGCAGAGCTATAAATTGGCCTAATTTCAATACTGTTGTGTCTCAGGGAATAGGGAGGCCTGAAGAGAGGGAGAGAGATGGGGGAACGACTGTTTGGTGGAGCAGTCAGAACATGCGCAACATTTATCGATTAAGTTCACCGTCTTACATGGGCATGGTTCATGGTGCCCCAAAACAATTACAATAGTAACATCAAAGGTCACTAATCACCAGAGCCAACATAATAATAATGAAAAGGTTTGGAACACTGCAAGAATTACCAAAATATGACACAGAGTGAGCAAATGCTGTTGGAAAAAAAGGCGCTGAAAGACTTACTCCATGCAGGATTGCCGCAAACCCTCAATTTGTTACAAACACAGAGTCTGCGAAGTGCAATAAAACAAGGAAGGTATGCCTGTATAGACTTTTACTTACTACAATAAAAAACCTAACAGACTCTGAATTAATGCCTATTCAATGAAGGTAGGAGGTCTTATTGTATCCCTGTTTACACAAGTACTTGTGCATGCACACACACGCACACACACAAATGTTAAAGTGTGTGGGATTCTCTCCATTACAACTGCGGAGTTTATGAGAAACACAAATCAGGATGCAGGTGTTGTCCATGCCAGCATCCTAGAAGGGGAAATTAACAAAGCTTCAGCCTCTACTGAATGCTTTTCTAAGTTGGCGGAATTGGCCAAACCTGCAATATTAACATAGAATTATGGAAATTGGAAACAAAAAGCTGGAGTCTGCTGGGAATGACAGGCTCAGGATGAACTCAGCTGGAAAATCTGGGTAACTAAAAGTGACATTCTTTGTGCTGGAATTTTTCTCTCTGAAAGCTTTCAAAAGGCTGTAATTATTTCGAGTTCTCAATGCAGCCCTTTTCAAACTAAGCCTTTCTTTTTCTTCATTGCCCTGTATCTTTCCTCCATCTGAACACAGACGTTTGCCAGGCACGGAAGTGGGAAATTCATATTGGTTTTATACATATATGCATTTCCAGGGAATGGTAAACAACACAATTTTTGCATCTTCTATGCCAAGGAAAACAAAAGAACGTTTGTACATCCATGCTTTATCTTATGCACAGGCTCAAAATACCCGAGCACAGCTAAATAAATCACCTAATAAGAAATGGCTGATCAAGGTCAATGATAATTTCTTTGCAAGCTAGTGCTTATTCTCAATGGGGAAGCCATGGATACAAAAACTTAGACTTACCTTGTGGCTTTTGGGTCCCAGATCACAATGTCAGCATCTGACCCTACAGCAATTCTTCCTTTTCTTGGGTAGAGATTAAAGATTTTAGCCGCATTTGTGCTGGTAACTGCTACAAATCGGTTCTCATCCATTTTGCCACAGTGCTGTAAAACAAGTCAAGGGAGAAAATGCATTTATTTTAATGGTAAAATACTAAAAAACTTCCATCAA